AATGCTTGTTTTTTGCCCCTTTTTTGGCCCCTAATTCCTAAAATTTTTAGGCAATTACCCCCAAAATCAATCCCAGCATTCCCTTCCTGATATAGAACCTTGTGGTATAATGTCAGAGAGATCCATACACTAACACACAAATAATTGTCTGGAAGTTACAAAAATGCTTATTTTTGGCCCCTTTTTCATTAAATGTTGGTACCATAACCCCAAAAATCAGTCCCAAATTTCCTTATTATTTTGTGGTATTGAACCTTATGGTAAAATTTCATAGAGATCCATTCACTTAAACTAAAGTTATTGTGCGAAAACCAATGTGTCTTCCGACGACGACGACGTCATTCCAAAATACGACTGCAAAAATTTTTGCAGTCTTATAATTACTTGATATTTAGAAGAAAATAAAAATTTTGCAATTTTTCCATTTATAAAGGGGCATAACTCTTAGAACGGCGAAAGTGACGCCACCAAAATTCAAACTTGATCTGTGTTTAGTGGTAATAAGCATTGTGTATAAGTTTCATAACATTTGGTTCATTTGGTTGAGGCAAACTAAAATAAGAGAACGGAAACTAAAAATTTTGCAATTTTTATACGACCGCAAAAAAATTTTTGGGATCGTATAATGGTATGATGTCGTCGTCTGCGTCATCCTCCGAAGACACATTTGGTTTCCGGACAATTACTTAAGTTTAAATAAATGGATCTCTATGAAATTTTTCAAGAAGGTTCGATACCACAAAAGGAAGGCTGGGATTGACTTTGGGGATGATGGTCCCAACCGTTTAGGAATTAGGGGCCCAAATCAAGCATTTTTCTAGTTTCAGGATAATAACTTGTGTATAAGTATCTTGATTGCTCTGAAATTGTACCACAATGTTTAATACCAGAAGTAGAAGGTTGGGAGTTATGGTGCCAACAGTAAAGGAATTAAGGGCCAAAAACAAGCACATTTATAATTTCTGAACAAAAACTTGTGTGTAAGTGTATGGATCTCTCTGACATTGTACCACAAGGTTTCATATCACAAAGGGAAGGCTGGGATTGATTTTGGGGGTAATTGCCCCAAACATGCAGGAATTAGGGGCCAAAAAAGGGCAAAAAACAAGCATTTTTCTAGTTTCCAGACAATAACTTATGTTGAAGGGTATGGATCTCTCTGAAATTGTACTACAAGGTTCCATACTACAAAGGAAAGGCTGGGATTGAGTTTGGGGGTTATTGCCCCAAGGGGGAATTCAAAAAAGTTGGGGAGGGGATTTTTTTTTCAACTTTTTCAAGGGGTTCATATTTTTTTTTCAAAATTTTTCAAATTTCAAATTTTTGAAAAGTTTCAAGAAGAAATCTGCAATTGCATATATTTTGTGTCAGAAACCTATATTATGTCAAAAATTTGATCACAATCCAAATTCAGACTGTATCAAGCTTGAATATTGTGTCAAAATTTATCCCAACTGTTCGGTGTTCGACCTCTGCAGTCGTATCAGTCTGCGCTCATCGAAGCATTTTATTCCATTTATAAAGGGGCATAACTCTAGAACAGTTAAAAAGACGCCACCAAAATTCAAACTTGATCTGTGTTTTGTAGTAATAAGCATTGTGTTTAAGTTTCATAACATTTGGTTGAGGCAAACTTAAGTTAGAGAACGGAAACTAAAAATTTTGCAATATTTCCATTTATAAAGGGGCATAACGGTTCCAGTGACGCCACCAAAATTCAAACTTGATCTGTGTTTTGTGGTAATAAGCATTATGTTTAAGTTTCATAACATTTGGTTGAGGCAAACTCAAGTTAGAGAACGGAAACCAATTTTGGGACGTACTGACGGACGGATGGACGTACGTACGTACGTACAGACAGACAAGGGTAAAACTTATTGCCCCCACCGCTACGGCGGGGGTATAAAAATACAAATACTATTCCATATAATGAAACATTATTCATAAATACTGACATATCAATATATGTGTATTTCATACAAAATTACTAATATATTAACATAATCTAACATATAAATGTTTTAACAAATCTATTTACTAAATAAATATGAATTAATTCAAGCTAAAGCATACTGACTTTCTGGAACAGTCAAATACTCAGTAACTGGGGATTCATTTATTGAGTAGAACGAAGAATAATTCATGGAGACTTGATTTTGTGGTTTTGACAAACTTTGCATACCTGTCTATAGAAAAATGCATTTGTGAAACATAGAAATTTGTAGTTCACCTTTATCCTCAAATTTCATCCATATTAGTACCCTACAGTTAATAATGAGTGGTCAGTAATCAGAACGGAGATAATCCTTCCCCTCATCATGCTTATAATTCCATTAGACGTAATGACTATAATCCGAAACTTATACTTTGTTTTACCTATCATCATAAACTTATATATATTTAAGAACAACACATACTTACAAAACAAAGAATATTTACATATATTCACATGCTTAATTCTGTATACTTTGAGCAACAGAAAAATGCAGTGCAGGAACCCAATACAACAGGGATACAGTTTATACATGGATTTTGCTTAGTGACCTATAGTTGCTAACTTCTATGTCATTAGGTCTCTGGTGGAGAGTTGTTTCATTGGCAATCATACCATATCTTCTTATACACATTTGTTTTATTGGTTGACTGCTCCCTACATTCTTTTTTGGGGGAGGTTTCTACAGTAGCTAACTCATACTTTATCGAAAACAATGTAAGGGGTTCATACACTTAAATAATTGTGTGTTCCTGGCTTGCTTATTGTGTGTCCAACATGGGGAACATTGTTTGAAAAATTGATAAGTATATTGATCCAAGGCTTGCAGTGTTCTAGAAATGCCGGTTAAAATAGCAAAAATCATTATGGAAATAAGTTTGGATTTCAAAAGACTCTACAGCCTACTGGGTTTCAGGAAAATCTGGACACTAATGGTTGATAAAATTCCTTTTTTTTTTGGTTTGAGTAACACTACTCTATTTAAATTGGGTATAAAATGTGGAACACATATATTTTTTCCAGGTATCATAGTAAAAATTGTTTTCAAAATTTATGTTGAAAAAGTTTGTAACCTGCTGAAGAGTTTAGTCGATTTAAAATCCTTCTAAAAAATCCATGTTTAATATGTACATACAGAACAATTATTTCAGTCATTAGTGTCATTGTATTGCACTGTATCTTTAAATTTTTAACATTTTGTCAATGATAAAATTTACCATTTAAATCTATTGAACAGACTTAACTTGACCCACTACAAGCAAATTACAGACATGACAATTGCAGTTATTCATAAAAATCAATTAATTGACAAAAACAAACCCAATTTTGACCAATTAAGCATTACTATTAAACAGCAACACAATAACAATATGATACAACCATCTAAAAAAGTTTATTTAAATATATGAAAGAGGCAATAACTTGAATGCTCGATGAAATATGGTTTCTGTTGCATAATATTCCATGAAGATACTTTCCTGACTAACATAAACCATTTTGAATACTCATCTGTCATATTTAACAATTTTTTCTAATTCTACACATGCATACTGCGAATTCATTTATTTTCATGCAATGAGGAATAAAGAGCTGGGCCATGAGTGCATGATACGCCAGTCGCTTTTTCAATGAATAAAGTTCAATTACTCCTCAATGTCATATCAGAAATTTATCAAAAAAACTAATAGGAGCTTATTTTAACACCTATAAACCATTCACCAAAGTTTCATGAAAACTGCTCAAAGCATTTTTGAGTTATTGTCCGAAAACTAGAAAATCACCCTTTTTTATGAATAAAATCCCATAACTCAGAAATGTAAAATCTAAAATTTATGAAAATCGAAAGTGAACTTACATCAATAGATATAAACAATTCACCAAAGTTTCATGAAAATTGGTTAAAAGCATTTTTGAGTTATTGTCCGACAAGTTGACAACGGACAGGTGGACGGACGGACAAACAACAATATACCATAATATGTCCTGTAAATGGGCGTATAAAAATTTAAATTCATATGTTGTCCTTTACCCACAAAATCCTTTAAAATGGACTCTTCATGTGAAAACTATCACTTCGAAAAATTTATTTCAGAATTTTTATGTAATCTTAATCACAAAGTAAATATTTTAAATCGCCAGTAATTTCCACCAATTTATTATTAAACAATGCAGATGAGCAAACTTCCAAGCTCCAATCCTCCATTCACTGAAAGTGATATCTATTTATTATGTTATTTCCAACTAGAAATCAGTTTTCTTTTAAGTAAATAAAAATAATGAAGAATTCAAAGAATATAAAGTAAATTCAGAAATTTGTGCCATTGTTTTGATAACTGCCACAGGATAGGTTTCCCAAAAATAAATAACTTGCATCTCAAGCTTTGATAACTTTATAGGTATGCAACATTTTCTGAAATTACAATAATCAATCTTGCAATTTTATTCAATGTTAAATAATGGCATTAACTAATGACCACAAAATTTTCTGCATTTACAGTAATATTGACGATAAAACAACTTTTACACATGAAAGTATTGTTCTATCTAGTTTGATAGCCTTTGCATTTAGTACATATTCTGTTTGAAACATCTGCATATACTATGTTTTGTTCTATTTAAGTGTTTGTAATGTTGTAGAACTTTTTTCTTTATATCTAAGTTTAGGTTTGCAGCTGACCATTAGACATTTATTTATCATAAATTCATGAATATTTATCTTGAGTTTACCTAAGCTACTTTTTTTTCACATAATTCTGCATTTTTTTGTTATAGCAAGTCTGTTTATGACCTATTCAAATTGATCTGATATCAATCAAGGGAGATAATTTAAATTGAAGCTGTTGTTAGCCGTCTTTCCAAATTTCGAAGTTTTATCAAACTTACATGTTGTATCTCTAGTAAATTCTAATGTTAAACATGCAAGCTTATATAACAGACATAGTTAGTGAATTGAACATGACATTTTCAGGATTAAGTAGAAATAAAAGTTTGGAACAAGAATTTCAACTAAAATTTGAATAAAACTTTATTGAAAAAAATTCTTTTTAAAAGTTGTTAATGACATGAATGAGAAACATTTATAATATAAATATCATTTTCAAATTTCGTCAAAATTTTTGTAGACCTCTGCTTGCCTTCTGAAACTGAAAATTTCCTTTGAATGGGAAACAAGTCAAATTTTAACAAGATCTCATTTGTAAGTACCGTCTCTTTTAAAAACATCTTTTTCTACTGTATAATTAGTTAACATTTTTAGAGCAGACTCTTTATTCACGTTTTGAAAAATGTCAATAAATGAAAGGACACATCATGCCTAAGTGGTGCCTCAGTAACCAGTGAGGCAGGTGAAACTGAAATAGAACTGACATTTTTCATAATGTAATGTAAACCTTTAAATATCCATAATTACAACTATTCACAATTATGGCACATACATGTAATCAATTACTCAATTTAAATTCCATGATTCAACGAATGCAATATCACTTAGTACACATGGTTCTGATACATGAACATATACAAGTATGAAAACATAGACAGTGAAGAGATAATTATTTTTAGAAGTGTTGCTAGCTTTCCTCTTTAGTTGCTCCATCTCCTTTGAGAAGTTCAAACAATAGTCCACAGGATTGAAACCCAGGTGGCATCAATGTGTTCAGTAATTCTTTACCAATACTACTGACACGTGTGATCTCTGGTAGTCTGAGCAACATTTCACCGAACTTGTCAGGGTTCTGTGGATAATGTGAAATAGTATATTTATACAGAGCATCACTTATTAGCTCTTGCTGTTCTCTTGCTTTGTAATTTTCCTTCATTCCTTTCACATCTGAAAAAGAAACCATCTGCATTAGACATTTGCATTTGAAAGTCTCCTTGGAATCTTCTGTCTCTTTTTGCCCCTAATTCACTGTCTACCAAAGGAAATTGCTTGCCTCACTGCGACTGTTACAAATTCAGTTTGATAAGCTACTGTAAATTCAGAAATTATTGCTATGTTTTTATTATTGGGAAAATATTTTTTTGTTATTTTACTTTTTTCAACGTGCACTGCATCTACATTGAGATAACAGTATTTTTTATTTAATGATTTGCAGGGGAAAAAAATATTCATTTCCTGGCTCCACAATCTTCAGTTTTAATACAGTTATCCCCTAATCCCCATACTGAATATGATACTTCTAGTCTTAAAAAAGATTTCCTAGAACTAATAAATAGTTGTACATTGTACTTTGTGTTTTATATATAGTGTTCACTGATTTATACCTTTTAATGCTTTCTGTGATTTAACACACACAGTCAACAAGATGTTATTGAAGCAATTAAAATTCATTCAGTGCATGTACATGTACATGTATATATGTGATCGAAAATTACCTGACTAAACAGATAAAAAGGCAACATATTTTGGTTTATAAAATTTATAACATACTTTCATTGTAGTTAAATTTCTAAATACTTACCATATGAAAATAAGAAGATGTGGTAAATGTATGAGACAACTCTCCACAAGAGACCAAATGACACAGAAATTTACAACTATAGGTCATAGTATGGCCTTCAACAATGAGTAAAACCCCTACTGCATAGTCAGCTATAAAAGGCCCCGAAATAACAAATGTAAAACAATTCAAACAAGAAAACTGACAGCCTGATTTATGTAAGAAATAATGAATGAAAAAAAAAAATGATATACAGTAACAAAAAACAAACACTAAATTACAGGAGAGGCACATACAGAGTATGGCGGGGTTAAACTAGTTTGAAGGCACCAACCCTCCCCTAACCTGGGACTGTGGTGTAACAGTACAACCAAAGAACAAACTATAAAAATCCAGTTGAAAAGAGCTTTAATATCTCATTACCGGTAAATGGATACATGTACAAAGCAGAAATACATCTAACAAAAACACAGAGTGGATGTGGCAGGGTACTTATACATCCCCACAACAACAAAAAAACACTAAGCACAGATCTGAGAGTACTCACAGTTACTAACAGCTAGTTCAAAGCCAATAACCATGCTGGGAAATCATAAATTAGTATAAAATAATTAATCAATATAGTCAGACACCTGAGTGTTTATAACATAAACATTTACAATATATCTTTTGTCTGCCATCCTGACAAGAGAAACTTATAAAATAGAAAACATAAATATTTAAATCTACCTGGTCAATACTTCCGTATTAAGATAAAATATTTAGTTGCATAAAATCAAAATTACCTGGTGTAATGAGTACAAGAACTTTCATTGCCACATATTCATACTGATCAACATTAAGTCTACGTAACTGATCAGTCAGATCTAACATTCGTTGAACAATGTCTTCGCAACCTTCACTGATGCTACGAGCTTTTTCCAGATCAACAGTTTTACCAAGTGGTAGAAAGATTTCTGTTCGACTCTCAACAGATCTCATACAACAGTTAAATATGAGAAGTTCCGCCCAACCATTTTGCAACAGTAATATCTGGTCATCTGTCTAATGAAATAAAACGAAAAATATTAACATGTGTGCTTAATTCCAAAATTACCAACTTAGCATGGTGGATTTAGGATTTGTTGTGTTTTGAGAACTGTTGTTTGTCTTTTGGTCGTTTTTCATTTTTGCCATGGCATTGTCAGTTTGTTTTTAACTTATGAGTTTGAATATCCCTTTGGTATCTTTCGCCTCTCTTTTCAAACTGAATCACCTTGTGTTTATATATATATAATTACTAGTACTGTAAGATACCTATAGAATATACAGATATTTTAAAAAGAACCACCAACTATCACCACCATTCATTTCAGTAATTAGAACTAAAATATGAATGTAAAAATTCATATTGAATGGTTTTTAACAGGTAAAAGTATCAATAATTTTTGTTCTCTTAATTTGCACAACTTGCATTGATAACAGAAAATGTGAGCACTGAAAATCCATATCAATGTATCACAAGCACAAGATGAAAATATGTAGAGAAATATATACAGGATTCCTGAAAGCAGGATGAAAATATGTGAACATATATTCAGAGAAATATAAACTCACTGATATTGCACTAAACTGTGGAAGATTCCTAGCCCATCGCACCAATTTATATAACCGCACTTCAGCAATTTGCAAAAAAGTCAAGAAAAAGTTTTGATCCCCTTCGCCAAATTTTTCTGGAATTTCTGAGCTACTCTCGTCTTCTGACAACAGAGACTCCATGCTCATTATTTCCGTTAACACTGGAGGAACAACTGGGGTAACAACTTGAGTTTGTTTTACAGGAGTCTTCTGTAATAAGTTCATTAAGTGACTTCCTGAGATGCTTTCTCCAGATGGCAGCTTAAGTTCCATGGTTTGTAAATGTTTCATATAGTCTGGTTGCATTTTTTTCGGTTTTGGGGTTGTCTTCTTGTCCAAGAATGTTTTATTTGGGCGACCATGAGGTGAACATCCATCATAACAGCTCCTTCCTCCCCGTGTCCTATCTAATCTAACAGCTGTAAAGAAACACTGCATCTATTATCTTTTTTAAATACCATGGGGATAAACCGAGGCAGGTACATTTTGTACATGTATACTTTACAGGAGAAGGACAAAAGTTATATTAGATTGAAAAAAAAAAAAAACAATTTCCAAGGAAAATAAAAAGGGCTTTCTAGTGTACATTTAGTCTACATTTTTTCAGACCATGAAATTCTTGTGTTTCAATCTTTTTAGAAATTATCTCCCCTTGATTCACAACTTTTCAGCATTTTGTTTATCACGTTTAAAGTATAAATTCTAAAATCATTCACACTGAAATTGTTACAGAGAGTTATCTTCCCTTAAGATACAAATTCAGTGCACTGTTTTTTTATGTGATAATAAAATGCTTCGCTGAGCGCAGCCTGATACGACCGCAGAGGTCAAACCCTGAACAGTTGGTACAAATTTAGACACAATATTCAAGCTTGATACTGTCTGGATTTGGATTGTGATCAAATTTTTGACATAATATAGATTTCTGACACAAAATAAATGTGGTCAAAGATCTTACAATCTATTGCGCAATACTGTGCAATTGAAGATTTCTCCTTGAGAAACTTTTCAAAAATTCAAATTTTGAAGAAAAAAATATGAATCCTCTAAAAAGATTGGAAAAAAAAATCCCCCCCCCCCCAACTTTTTGAAACCCCCCTTGGAGCAATAACCCCAAAACTCGATCCCAGCCTTTCCTTTGTAGTATGGAACCTTGTAGTACAATTTCAGAGAGATCCATACACTTAACACAAGTTACTGTCTCGAAACTAGAAAAAATGATTGTTTTTGGCCCCTTATTCCTACATAATTGGGCAATTAACCCCAAACTCAATCCTAGCCTTCCCTTTGTGATATGGAAACTTATGGTACAATGTCAGAGAGATCCATACACTTACACACAAGGTATTGTCTTGAAACTAGAAAAAATGCTTGTTTTTGGCCCCATAACCCCTAAAATAAATCCCAACCTTCTACTTGTGGTATTAAACATTGTCGTACAATTTCAGAGCAATCAAAATACTAATTCACAAGTTATTATCCTGAAACTAGAAAAATGCTTGTTTTGGGCCCCTAATTCCTAAACGGTTGGGACCATCATCCCCAAAATCAATCCCAACCTTTCTTTTGTGGTATTGAACCTTCTTAAAAAATTTCATAGAGATCCATTCACTTAAACTAAAGTTATTGTCCGGAAACCAAATGTGTCTTCGGACGACGACACAGACGACGACATCATAGCATTATACGAACCCCCAAAAATTTTTGCGGTCGTATAAAAACAAGTAAACAGCAAATCTAGATTAACATTACAATTTAAAACCTGTCAAAACCAAAGTTTCTTATAAAATGTACATGTACAAAAAAAATGTAGACTGAAGATTTTGTTTCACCATTGTTCACAGCTTAGATAAGATATTGGTATTTAGTTTTCCAAGGTTAAATTCCAATAGAGGATTCCTTATAATATGTCCTGATATGAGAGTTCATTAGAAAAGCATTGATGTATACATATATTTAGCTGAAGTAGAGAGAATAAGAGATCACATGTTTCTTTAATATTCATCAAAGTGGAAATCTAAAAATGTGCTAGCTTTAACATTTTTCCAACTAAAATACCTTTTACTTTTCCTTTACTCTTTTTCTTAATAATTGAAGATTTTTTTGTATCTATTGCAACTTATAATACTCACTTATAAATATATTCATCATGTACAGTGTATGAACAATGTACAATGTACATGTAACTTCTGAAATTTTCATGTTGTTTTTTTTTATCTTACATGTACATGTACAAATGTATATTCATGATATGATATTCTTACCTTCAATTTTCATTCCAGTAGACATACACTTTGCAAACCTACATGCAGGACATTTCTTTCTGTTACCCCTCAGGACATCACAGTCACTATTCCTGTGACACTGGAACACTTTTTTATTCTGAACTGTTCGTTTGAAAAATCCTTTGCAACTTTCACATGTAAAAATCCCATAATGGTAACCTGAAATTATATACATGTTGTATTTTTAGATGTATAAATGTTATATATGTACATGTATAATAAAAAGATAACAAGAGTTACTGAAAATATTGGGCAGCACAACAGACCACATTAACCACCTCTGAAAAAAAAGAACGTACAAACAAAGAGAAACAACAACTTGCAACTGGACTTGATACAGAGTTTATTAGAGACACAGGTGTGTTGTAGGTTTAAACCAGTTCTACATGTACATTTCCCTATCTAAAGATAACTTTTTTTGGAACATGCGTACATTTACCTTTCTAAAGATAACTTTTTTTGGAACATGCATACATTTATTTTTGAAATATATTTAATATTTGATTTTTTTAAGTCAGCCTACATGAAAATGATGTATCATTGTATGTCAGTTCATTTCTTTAAGAAACCTTATTTGATAAAATTAACTCATTCAGGGGCCTTTAATAGCTTACTATGCAGTATGGAATTTGCATATTGTTAAAGGCAGTATGGTGGCTTATTGTTGTTACATGTAACTTCAATGCCATTTGGTGGAGAGTTGTCTAATTGGAAATCATGCCACATCTTCTTATTCTTACAATGTACAAATGTATATATTGATTATGTACATGTACTGTATGATGTAATTAAGCAATCTTTACCATGTTTACATATTGTACAAGTACCTGAAACTTGATCTCCACACACTGGACAAGGATCTGTTACAACTGTTTGTGGATGGTTTGTGTGTAAACGTGACTCCAATGATACTGAGAGATCAACACCTTCAGTCTTTTCAGAAGCATTATCCACAGCCATGTCAGAAATGACCAATTCTCCTTTTTCATTATATCTAGCCTGTCTAATTAGATGTTCATTAACTTTTGCCTGATCAACATGCAAGTCTGTGTCTTGCATAAGATACCTTTGACCAGTTTGGTCAATAACAACATTAACCGCAGATCCTGCATCGGACACAACAATATCATTAGACGGAGAGGGTACAGTTGTGTTGGAGTTCTGGTTGTTGTTATAACACATGAAGACTTGATTTGAATTTGAAGAACCTTGTACATTTGATTCATTCTCAAAATTTCTCACTTCAGAATTGTTGGTTATATTACTGTTATTTATGTTGCTATCAGCTGTTGACTTCGTCTGAGTTGCTGCGACATTTGATAGAAAATTCATCATGGACGTATCAGTTGTTGTGTTGGGTTGATTAACGGCAAAAGAATTCTGTCCGTCACTATTCTGAGAAATTTGCTGTTGAGCTTGTTGAGCCAGTTTCAAACTAATCAACTGACGAATGTCATCAGCAGTTATAGTTCTGTTGGATCCTTCCATAGAAATTCTCTGCTGAACAGAATTCACAATGTCCGGAAGAATCTGACTCACATCTTGGTTCATAATTGGGTCACATGATACCTCATTTTGAGAAACACTATCATGGTTGTCAATCATTTCCTGTTTGATAAATGTTGGATCCATTTTTGAATCTTTTGACGAGATTTTTTCACTTATAGCTTGTAACAAGACTGGGGATATTCCCAGTTCACTTGACATACTCATCCCTGGAAAAAATGATAAAATGAAGGTGTAGTCAGCCTGCAACTTAAACCACGGACCTTACAGAAAATGTTTGTGAAATTCATTAGGACCAAACCATGCAATAAAATTTATTTTAAAGCCAATTTTTTTTTTTTTTTTTCAAAATTAAGAGTAAGACCAATTTGCCAAAATGTATATCATGAAGACTGTGTAATTTCATGAGATTTATAGACATCTTCATGAAAATATGACAACATGCTCAGAAAATGCTTTGTATAGCACATGTACAGGAGTCAATTTTTATATTCATAAAATTTGTTCAAATATTTTAAACAATGTCTAAAGTGAAATGACACATAAGACAGAACAAAGCATCCGGATGCTACAAACAAAAGACATAATTTGCAAATATAAAATTTTGCAGGTATCACGTAACAATAAAAATTATATTATTATTCTTGTAATTTCCATATGAAGTGGGGCCCCATCCGGAAATACAATAATTATTTCTTATTGTTATTTATTGCAGGTAATTGCAGCCAATGCCATATACAAATGTTATATATATCTATAGTCACAAAATTTTCAGAAACAAGTGAGTATTTGACCGCTCATAGGACTATCGGGCTGCTAGATTACAAGACTGTCAGATTATAGATCTGACCCTGTGGTCCCAATTGACGAATTTTAAATTTATGCATTTTCCTGTACATTTTTTATGTCAAAATGCTGTTACTTTGTCAGTCAATCAATGGTTCAATTTCCACATTAAAACTCTGGGTAAACAGTTTTTACTCATTGATAAAAAAAGAACTTGAAATTGGTCTTTTTGTTACATGGTCTTACTGCCTGAAATACTGGACACATACATGTACCAAAAAAGATGATACAATAATATTCATACTAATAACGTCAATTCAAAAAAAGAGTTACCTATATATGATATAGCACAATATATTTACATAAATCAGATGTCAGGTTATATATTTGTTTACATTTTCGCACTTTGGCTTTGTTTATTGGCCGCTAAATTCGATGTAAAATGCATTGCCAAACTTGTGCTGTTCTGTTTCAAACTCTTGTTAAATTTATAATAAAGTAGTGTCAACAGGTTAACAATAACTATTTTTCAAAATATTTTGAAAAGACATACTTAATGCATCGAATGATATGTCTGCAGCAGGCTAAATCATTAGATCTGTCAAGTTCTGCTTTCAGTTTTAGTGGGGATGCTCGTTTCATTGATCTGGCCATGACCTTGGTCTTGCAAAACGTCCTTCACTGTTCTCTTCTTTGCACCACGCCCCTTTCTGTCGACTCAATCTTCTTCTTGGTTGAAAACGATTTTAAAGTCGGGTTATAAGGCTTTTTTATGGCATAAATTTAACAGTTGTATGTACTGAAATTCACAATGGCTGCCACTGACCCGTACACATAGAAAAGAGGTTTTTGTTAGAGATTATGTTGTCCGCGAAGCGTGAAGAGTGCTTTCCCTTTATTTTATTAGAGATTGCAATGCATTTATCAGCTTACATTAACTTCTGTATTCTTTAATTTTTTTATGGCATTGTTCTTTATCTTAAAATATAACGCTAATTCTGTAAAATTCTCATGAAATTATTTTTTTCTGTAATTATAATATTTGATTGTTTATCACATTAATGATTTCTGTAATCAGTCTTTTATTTTCCACAGTTAGGCAGGAACATATATATATACTGTTCCCAGCGTGAGGGTACCCAAATTGCACCTATTTTGACAGTTTTTTCACCTACTTTTATTTATGATCCAGACAAAAGTTTCCATTCTGTGTTCATTTTATAGATGTATCCTTATCAACTATATAGTTACACGAATTTAATTTGGAATCCATATTGAATCATAGAAAAATGGGTTTGAACCAACCTCCAAACGACCAATGAGTCAGTAAAGGAGTACCCAAATTGCATCCATGCTTAATTTCACATCCTTAAAAATCGAATAACAGATGTTTTGTTTTATTTCTTCAAATATTTAGAACAATTTGACATTAGTCCATTTTTACTATTCATTTTTTAAGAAATGGATGCTTGTAACATATTTTATTTGCCCATTTTTAAAAGATGACTTTTTGTGGACGTCGCATGGCGACGTTTCCGTAGATTTTACTTTTTCCAGTAAATACTTTATCTGTTGATATATACTGTGAACGTTAAGTGTATATTTAAATATATTTACTTATGTTGAAAGACGTGTATAATGTCAACTCATAAAAATACAAATTGTTTAGTCTCAAAGAAAACTTGTAAGATTTCCGCTGCTATTTTTGCTGAATAGGTGCAATTTGGGTACTGAGAGGTTATACTTTGGCAGTGGCTATTTTGCCGGCTCTGATTAAAATATCTCAATTTAAACCGGTAAAATAACACGTTTCTATAGCAATAGCTATTTTGCCGGCTCTAGGTAAGCAGAAGCAAATTTTGAAAGTAAAAAAGATTGTGTTTTCAGATATGCAATTCAAAGAACTGATTATTATTTCATGAGCAAATGTTATTAAACATTTTTGGTTTTAAAGCTATGTGATACATGATAGGTTTTGTTAGATTGTTAAATGTTTTATCAAATTTACATGCATTTTTTATTTTTTTATACCATATAGTTAAAAAATCTGAGATTTTATTCTAATGCAATATTAGACTGTGAGTGATTAAATTTGAGGTAATTTCAACTACATGTTTTGATATGATTTCATTGCTACAAATGGATGCCCAATATTTTTATTTTTATGTCTTTACAAATTCTATTTTCACCTGGACTAATTAACGTTTATAAACGATTATGTGTATCTCAAATATTGTGTAACTGTCATCTTATTTTACTATCCGAGTAATAATTTGATTCTTTGAAGTTAGCAATATAAAAATAAGAAGAGTGTGGTATGATTGCCAACGAAACAGCTCTCCACAAGAGACCAAATGACACAGAAATTAACAATCATCACCGTACGGCCTTCAACAATGAGCAAAGCCCATACCGCATAGTCAGCCATAAAAGGCCCCGAAATGACAAATGTAAAACAATTCAAACGAGAAAACTAACGACCTGATTTATGTACAAAATAATGAACGAAAAACAAGTATGATATAAGCAACAAACGACAACCACTGAATTACAGGCTCCTGATGTACATTTTCGTAGCACTTTTGAAAAGTAAATATTTAAATTCACTTTTTACAAAGAACCGACAAAATAAGAAATTCACTATATTGCTGGCGCCGGCAAAATAGCCATTGCTATACAAATATGCTATTTTGAAGGCTAGAATTAAGATAGTTTAATCAGAGCCCGCAAAATAGCATTCCTATTTTGCCGGCACCGGCAAAATAGCTACTCCCATACACTTTTGCCGTGACCCGTTAGTCTTTTTTTTTTAATTTTTCTATCATTTTTCTCTTTTCATTTTTTTAGGGGGGGGGGTTGCATTTTTCTTCATTTTTTTAAAGATCCAGAACCTTAGAAATGGTATTTTCAATTACTTCAAAATAAAAATAAAATCAGTAAGAAAATGCAAAAATAGTACTTGTAAACTTGACTGCACGATCCTGAGCCTACTATAAACATATCGATATGTCTCTGCTATAACACACTATAGATATTATGTAGTACTGAGTCTCAGTAAAATCCGCTTTCACTGAACCCACTAAGGACGTTTATTGCATGTTCTTCTAGTTTACGGAAAGGTTATACCAGAGACATGTGTATTTTATGTCTCTGGTTATGCACAACCATCCATGTTTCAGTTACCGGGAGGAGACATTCTTAAAACAAATTCGCATAAAATAAAGAAAATTTCTATTTTTCAGGTGTCTCCGTCTTTTGAAAATTTCTGCCGCGAAAAATATATAAATATTTAATTTCAATAATATACAAATTATGAGAATATGGACATGGGCACACATTTGGTTATTTTTTTTTCTGTTAATGTTAGTTGTGAATTTCTTTGCATGTTCGTATTAACAAGATTTAAGACTAAATTGATTAATTAGTTAATAAGTATTGTAATAATTCAAAATATACATGAGAACAGAATTGAGATTTTAACGTGAACCTATAGTAATTTCTACAACAGGATTTCCGGTGACTGGGCACGGTTGTCTGCTTTCGAAGAAATTAAGTATATCAAAGCAAACATGAACATAACTGTTTTTTTTTCTTTTCCTGCTGGTCAAATAGGCGACTAAATACAATATTTCTGTATTTATTAAAAAAAATGGTTTTATCTAAATAGCTATAACTTCAGCATTTTGGACAAATTTAGATGACACAAGTTCAGAGGGATTAAGGGGGTGAAGTGTTCACACATATATTTCACCCCGCTACATTCTGCATGTGCCTGTCGCAATTCAGGAAGTGGTTTTTGTTTTGCCGCTATCTATTATATTTGTTTTTGTTTTTTGCTTTGTACATACATTAGGCCTTTGGTTAACGTTTTCTCGATGGATCTGTTTAAATTTTGTCATTTCTGGGCCTTTTATAGCTTACTAAACGGTATGGATTTTGCTCATTATTGAAGGCCGTTCTGTGACTTATACTTAATTAACTCTGCATGCTTTTTTATGCACAATACAACTACTTTGTTGCTGCAAAACTGAAAGTGCTTTTTATGAAAAGTTTCTCCAATTGGCACCTTTTTAATATTGTTTTTATTTGTAATATGAATAAGCAGTAGCTCGATGGTATCTCTTTTACTTAAATTCTCATCCAAAGATTCCCTAACTGGGGTATAATATGGTTATCCCTTGGACTTTTTCTATAAAAATAATAGTGTTAAAAATGTAGCCCTATATAACCACAGGTTATCCGATGGAGAACGTCTATCGTAAAATTGTCATATATTTAGACTTACAGAATAAAATTAAAATTTGATGTGACGGAATGGTAAGTAAAGTCATCATCCTTCACAACAGTCAAAAATCGGCTGATCTGCCAAGTACACCATCTACTTACCATTATGCATCATGTACTGTGTTACAACCCTGGATAAAGCCGACTAGGACAGACATTACTCGACTAACGAAAACTATATTTTATATAAAGCCTAGTTGGTCGAGTGGTCTAGGGCACTGGATACAGTACACTCGGTGATGTCACAGAAGCAGGGGTTCAAACCCGTTTAGGTAAGACTGACACAAATTTGTTAATGCAAAAATTACAGATCTAACATTGTTGGGCTAAATTTGAGACGAAGTATAAATAAATTTTGGTGTTTTAGCCCTGTGTAATCACAGTTTATCCGATGGAGAACGTCTGTCGCAAAGTTGACACATATTTAGACGTAAATAACAAAATTGAAATTGAAAAATAGACTGTTGTGCTTCCTTAATTTTGATATAATAATTGTTGATCTTTTTTTTTTATAACAAAGCTTCTTATGATATGAGGTGCTGTAGTATTGAGTGAGCTGTCTCAATTTTTGTTATTGTTCATTTCAGTAAGTACTTTTGTTAAGAACTGTAATAATGGAGTTGTAGTTTATATATTAAATTGATTGTACATGTTATTTGTTTATCTTGCATTGTCTTGAAAGCAAAGCTTGTATGGCCCTATGATTGGATGTCAACGAAGATCACTAGTTATTGTTGTTCATGTGAGCGTTAATAAAACTTATTAATTTATATTATACTATTGCATTCAAAATTTTTTTTTTTTTATCTTAGTCATAAATATTTGTAAGACAGACTTTGTCATAACTTTTTTCTTCAATTTCTCTAAGGGAACGAACGTTTGATTTTCGGGGAGAGAGGGATTTGATAATTTTGAAAACGAACATCCTGGCCCGGTAAGAGCTAAACAAATAAATAACCTTCAATAAGACACGATGAAAATGAATATTCACATAATGCAAGAATGAATCGTGTTCAAAATTGCAAATATATTTTCGTCCGACAAAGCCGCCGCCCCCTTCCCCGGATTTCAAATGGTCGTCCCCTAAATTGCTCTGGTTTTGGGTTTTGATTGTACGTGTTTCTTTGCAAGAGGAAAGATTTGATTTATTGTCGTTCGGAAATGCTTACAAACATTAAACCGCAGTTTATCCTAATAGACACACTTATATTAACTATATACATTAAACGAGTCTAACAATTCTTTCCATTAGCAAAATCAAAGACAAACAATGAAATTTACGTTTGTATTATGATGTTTCTGGCAAAAGGAATATTATATTGAAATTGAATGTCAAGTGGACTTTGCAGAGCTTAATTCCATTTACGTTGAAATATATTTCTATAATTCAATTTTATATAGAAAAAATCTCTAAACGTGTTATTTGTAATTAATTTAACATTATCTCCCCTTTCTGAAGCGAAATGTATTTTTTTTCTTTAAAGTGATAAAAATTATATGTCTATATACTATTACTTGTTACAAATCGAAACGAATATCACAGATACTCTCTGATTACAAATAAACAATGATTGTAACCATGCTTAAGTGCAAGCGTCAAAAATGTTTTCGCTTTATTTAATTTTCGTCTCTGATGACCCAAGTCGGAACAATTTAGTCTGATTGGTGATGATACTGACTTTCATCCAGACTGTTCTCTTGAGAATCCAGGTCTCTGATTGGCTGATCTGTGTAATATCCCATGTAAGGAATCGTAAAATATTGTTTATACATGTAAAACTATGTGTCGCTTTATGTTGCATTGATTGCCTTTCCATGCTTGATCCGCCAGATGTTTTGTTATTAATATTTAAAGCCAATAGAGACGGCAATGAAGATATATAATGTTCATACAATCATTAAAAGACATCCGGCTGAATCTGAGTCTGATTTTTATTTAATATTAAAAAATCGAGAATAAAAGATAGATTTTGGACTATCTAAAGTTTATTGTTATCAAAATTTGATAAAAGAAATTTGTATTGTTATTTTAAAAAAAGTTTCAAAAGAAGGACTAATATATATATATATAAGTGAAACAATGCCACGTTCGTTCATGGTAAAGCACGTGAAAAGGCGTTATGTAAAGAGTAGACCAAAAGCTTCGACATCAGGTAAACTTTGCACCTTTGGCATGTATACAGATCGTTTTATTTTTTTAAAAGTTGCACGATTCTACAGCATGTACTCGGTTTCAATCTAATAGTTGTTTTACTATTTATTCATTAGCATAACATAATTTTTTTTGCTGAGAGTATTGCATACGTTAAAATCTTGTTTCTTAAAATCAGAATTGGATATCCGTGGATATATTTCGATTTGCTTTTTGTTACAATTCCTTTTGACTGTGACACAGGCAAACTGTATGTGTTAGCTTGTATTACATCTTTTAATTTTGATTTTTCTAAGCTCCCTTTTTAAAAGTGAATACGTTAAGCATTTATAAGAATCACTTTTACCTTCGCATATTTTCCGATGATCAGTTTAGGTTGATATTTTAAACTTATTATTATTATTATTATTATTATTATTATTATTATTATTATTATTATTATTATTATTATTATTATTCTGCTTACTTCATCAAACATGTACTTTGTCGAAAATCTCCTTAATTTTTCATATATGTTAATTATAAAGACTACGTGTATACTGAATATTATTTAACCATGGGTATTTTTTTACGTTTTCATATCTTTTACATTATGTAGGCCCAAAACAGAGTTTCTTTCATTTTACAGTTCAACTACTGTATCACTAGCCTGTCAACACTGAGGTTGTGAGTTTGAACCCCGCAAGTGGTAGGTGCGTTTAACTCCAATCTTAATTGACTAAGATTGTAAGTTTTCCTGCTGAAGGTCTGTGGTTCTCTCCGTCAACTCCGGCTTCTTCGACCAATAGTGCTCATTATGGCGTTAAACACCAAACATTTACCAATCAATCATATCGGGACCTTTTATAGCTGACTATACGGTATGGCTTTGGTCATTGTTGGGCCGTATATGATGACCTATAGTTGCTTAACGCTACGTCATTTGAACTCAGGTGGATAGTTGTCTCATTGTCAATCATGCCGCATCTCCTTATTATAATAACAAAGAAAGTGTTTTCTATTCACAGTTATGCCAAAGAGAAAAAAATCACACGTATATAAGAAAGCTTGTATTTCAAACACTGCACTGGGTGTTGATTTTAAGAGTTTTAAAACAAAATAAATGCATAACGACTAAAAATAAAACTGTTTAAATTTCAGACAACATTCTGAAACCATAACAGAAAACGGTTTATTTCAAAACCCAACTAATTTTATAGAAAATAGTTCGATGCATTGGAATTAATTTTTTCCACGACCTCGGTGTCTTCAGTTGTCTTCAGACAATTTTGCGACTTTAATAGTAGTCATTTTTAAAGATATAAATAAAGACATAGATTTGCTTCTAGATCTCCGAAGACACTGATAATCATTTGCTATGACTGGAATGCTTGTTAAAATAAAAAAAAATGTACCATTCGCACCAAATATAAAGGATTAATTACATTTGGAACTGATATACTCCGTCTCAAATTTAGCCAAACAATGTTAGATCTGCTAGTTTGCTAAATTTGAGACGAAGTATATATAATTTATAGTGTTACTGCGGCCCTGTATAACAACGGCTTATCCGATGGAGAAAATCGGTCGTAAAGTTGTCACATGTTCAGACGTATGTAATATATTATATATATATTTGTCCAAATGCAAGTTTTCGTACTTATAACTAAAAAAAAATAATTTAGTGGAGCTTTTATATAACTTGAAAGTACTGCATCCATTTAATGTAAGTTTTCGATAGATTTTACTGTGTTTCATGTCGATGAGGGTATGGATAGTGTAGGGATATAATAACATTTCTTGAGTTAATAATCAAAGTAATAATAGGCCAGTAGAAAAGTAATACTGACTTTCGAAAAATTAAAAGCGACTATTCCATTTTCATGATTGAAAATTAGATTTGAAATAAAACTGGATTTTATCTCTGTTTGAGTTTACAACCAATTTAGTGACCTTCAGAGACAGAATAAAACTATCAATATCCGAAGAACAGAATTCTTCGAAATTGACAAACTTTTGTAAATATGGGGGAGACAACAAATTGCGATGTGATATATACCTGCTCAAACTCCGTTTTACCAATTCTGAATGGCAAAATGGATTCAGTAAATTGCATGAAGTTATAAAAGACCTTTCCCTCAACTATAACTTCTTTCATTAATATAATTTATGACCATAACCGAAAACAACCCTGTTCTGAAGGCAATCCATACTTGGTAAAGAACTTTGGCTTTCAAGACAACAATACAGACGGATTAAATCGTCTAAATTTTGTGTGGCTGGTGCCTCTTCGGTTTTATTGCGGTATTTATTCAATCTTTATCTGCAACATAGGGACGCACTGGTCATGTCTGTAGTATAATTATAGGCAAAATTACCATCGGTACCCATCTGACATGTAATATATATGATCAGGTAGCAGTTTAAGCTATAAATCATTATTTCCTTATATAAAAAATCAGTAGGTATGCTAACAAATTATAGAAATTGCATTTCGCGACTAAAAGCCAGAGCTTCATTAACAAATAATTATTTCACGTTATTAAATGTGACTTTTTTAATAATTCTGGGATGCTGTCCCAGCACCTGCTTTGCGTCGGTAGGTGTGAGCAATGATCCAGCATTTAAGGCTATTCATGTTCATTCAGGAATCTTGAGAATCTTTACAGATAAACAAGTCTTATCTTAAATTGAAAGATTGAGTTTATCTTATTCTTACTTATATGCACCACAAGTTCAATTACGTCTTGGTTCTATTTGACCTCAAACAATTTGTTGGTGTCGTGTAATCTCATTTGTTATCAAATACCCGTACCATGAAATAAACAAAATAATATCTGTATGAATCAAAAGTCACTAAAAATCATTGGCATTTACTGTCTTTTTACTATAATTTCAACAGCATGATTTTAAATTATTTAAAACTAAAATCTATAGACTCCAATATCTATGATGCAATTCTGACATTTTCTAATATAAATTATTCTGCGTACAAAGCCCGAATCAGATTGGATCACGTACCGAATTAAAGAATTCAAAAATACTAATAACATTTTTTTTCTCTCTTTGTGAGCAAAATACATAGGAAGCGGCCATCGATTTTGAACCGCGTCAACTGAGTCGTCTGCATATTATGTTTTCTTTTAATTTCACAAACACGGATTCTCTTTTAAACTGGATAAGCAAATGTAATTGAAAATTAAATATTTAAATTCAAATGCATTGCAATAGCACTTAAATATGACATTGATCTGATTTCTTATATGATTAGATACGAATTGTCCGTCATGCACAGCTTTGATAATTTATTTTTATCACACCAATAGCAGAACTTCTCTGATGGATTGACAGACTATTATTTTAGGGATATTTTAAACGTTTTAACGACTCCTTCCTGATCGATGTTAAAAGATGCTTATTTTTAATTATAGGAATCAACAAGCGTTTTACCGAGCAGTTTTTGATATTTCATTGGGTTCTTAAACAAATGTAAAGCTGTTAAGCTTTAAAGAATTATATTGATTGTGTGAAACAAACAGGAATTGTTTTAATGATTTATAACGAAATATAAACAAAATACTCTTTCCAACTGCAAACAGGCACATGAGTCTAAAGCGCAGAGAAATAATGACAATTCTAAACCCAAGGAAGCCACACCATTTAACCTTTATTAATTTGGTCATTGGAGTTAAACAAAAACTTCTCAAAGATACCTGGCTTATAATTGTGTACGTCAGATGCGCGTTTCGTCTTTAAAAGACTCATTAGTGACGCTCGAATCAAAAAGCTACAAGGCCAATTCAAGTACGAAGTTAAAAACATTGAGAACCCAAAATTTCCCTATCCGTCGCTATCCGTACAGTAGTAAAAGAGAGGTGAAATATACTAGAGTAACACTCAAACTCATAAGTCGAAAATAGACAACGCCATGGCTAAAAAAAGAAACAGACAAACAGACAAACAATAGTACACAAAACACAACATAGAAAACTAAAGACTGAGCAACACGAACCCTACCAAAAACTGGGAGTGATCTCAGGTGCTTCGGCGGGGTTAGCAGTTCCTCCTGCTCCACACGTGACACGCGTCGTGTAAGATGACAAAGCAATCTGTTCTTTTGCTTTTGTTCGATGCTTTTAGTTATATGCCAAAAATATTCGCAGTGAACTATCATTTCAAAATTTCCAACAATTCATTTAAACTCAAACAATGTCCAAGGGGTCTACTATGAATGTTCTTATGTCGACGTTAAGGGCTTTCTTGGTATGAAGCTATTAGACCAAGAGTTCCAAGTGATGAAGTTAAAATCATCCCTTCGAAAATTTTACGTACGCCATCACGAGTTGGTTGACCGTCATGGAATATCTCTTTCACCGATGACGACGGATATGTTCCAAATGTCATATCCACAATCTCTTCGTCTATTCCCCGAATGTGACCTACCGAATTAGACTTAGTATCGGATTTTTTCTTGCATGAGCAGCACGACGGGTGACACATGTGGAGCAGAATCTGCTTACCCTTCCTTAGCACCTGAGATCAATTCCGGTTTATGGGTGTTTAGTTTTGCTCGATCAGTCTATAGTTTCAAATGTTTTGTTCTGTATACTGTTTTTTTGTCTTTTGATCCTGTTCATTTTTTACCATGGCGTTATCAGTTTATTTTCGACTAATGATTTTGAATGTCCCTTTGATATCTTTCGCCTCTCTTTTCGTAATGTTGTAAGGTGTGATGTTTTATAATCATGGTTATAAATTTCCCAACCACCTTAGACAAGAAGAACGGAAACCAAATCACTATTGATTATTGCGTAATATATCATTGGACTCTTGTGTTATATTTATTAAGCTTATATATTTTGTTTCCAAATTTCAATGAAAAACTTTAGGTTCTGTAGTTTGTGATGACTGTAGGGTATAACTTTTCTTTTGTTTTTTTTTTATGTTTTTTTAAGAGGGCATTAGCTACGAGATATAGAAAAAATAAAATATGCTTTTTTTGTTCAATCCTTAATGAAAGTG